CTTTTGTCATCTGGCCACATGGCCGGCCTGCTCTAGACCAATTTCTCGACCACATCAATTCCATACACCCAGCCATCAGATTCACCATGGAAGTCGAAAATGATGGCAAGCTACCCTTTTTGGATGTCCTAATCAAAAGGAGACCTGATGGTTCAATGAGCCACTCTGTCTACAGGAAAGCCACCCACACGGATGCTTATCTAAAACCGGATTCCCACCACCATCCATCTCAGAAGAATTCCCTCATCAAGACTCTATATCATAGAGCCCAATGCATCTCCGACCATGAACACATTTCCAGTGAACTCAAACACGTACGCCAAGCTCTTAAGGCAAATGGTTACTCCGACTATACAATCCGCAAAGCCATCACTCCAACCATCAAGAAGGATCCTGTTGAGGAGCCTTTCAAGACCATCACCTTACCCTACATTGCTGGGGTCACAAAAAAGATCTCCAAAATCCTGATTAAACACAAGATCCAGGTCCGATTCAACACAGTACATAAAATCCGTGATCTGGTACCGTCTGTAAAAGATGTGGTTCCAGACATACAGTACCCTGGCGTCTACAAACTAAGTTGCCTCTGTGGTAGCAGTTACATTGGGGAAACCAAACGACATGTCTCGGACCGCATCCGTGAACATAAAGCTGACCTGAAACACGGTAGGACTAACACCTCAGCCGTGGCAGATCACTGTTACAACTCAGTGGGCTCACATGATATTGACTTCTCCAAGACAGAGGTTCTCTGCAAGCCATCTGGCTATCATGAGAGATTCGTTCATGAGGCGATCCACATATACAAACACAGAGACAACTTTAACCGAGAAGATGGATTCTGGCTCAGCAATCATTGGAAGGACGTAATAAACCATTTCGATACACATTAGGGTGTGTAGAATAATACATAGTGTGATATTAAATGTATAAGATATAGGTTGGTTTACAGCAATACAGTATATAATTTAATGTTGGGTTTATCTATGGCAGTATATAGTACGGTATATGCTCGTGTGATGTAAGAGAATAAGGTTTAGATGGAAGCATATTATAGAATTTTTACGAGGTAAAATTGTAATGTATTACTTGCTGTTAGTAACTCAGCTTATTATAGAGTATAGTAAGTATACTGATGGTGCGATGCAGTTTATACTTTAGTTTTTTATGTAGTTTATACTTTAGTTTTCTACGTGGTTGTTGAGTAACTGCAGCTACATATCATTAACATTCCTTTCCTTTGTTACTGCTAATCCCTGCACCCCCCTTGGTTGCTGCTGATCCTGCATAATGCATGGGCATAATATGACTTTGACACCCCCCCGCCCAACGCCTACGCATTTTCCATGAATATGCTAAATCCCTCTTCACATGCACATTCTTTTTGTTAAGGCGCTCTTCAACCCCCAATGCAGCTTATATATAAGCTCCTAGTTTGGTAGTGTCTCATTCTTCACCTGAAGACGGCTGCTTGCGTTGTAGCCGAAACGTCGTGAGAATTGTTTTATTATGTTTTATTTTTATTATTTTATTACTTCCCTTCTACGTGACTTTACCGAAAGAAACAAGAAGATGAATCCCTGCAGTCACGAAAGCTTTAAATCGAAATTTAACCGCCTCTACGGGGAGGGTTTCCACATAACTTTGAGATCCTTCAACAAGCTCCGGGATAAAAAGGCTCAGCTAATCGAGTCTCTCACCTTTCTGAAGAGATGCCGCGACTCTAAGGTAATACCAAACGCATTTACACTAACATCTGCTGCTGTTACTTCTTCTAATGCGAAACGAATTCTGTCTAGAACTAGCTTAGCTCTTATCTCAGAGAAAATCAGACTTACGCGCACCGAACTAGATCAGTTAGACAAGACACTCTACAAATCACACTTATCTTTGAGTGTAACAATGTCCACATCGGATTGGGAACATGTGGAAAAAAATGACTGCCTCTTCAGCTGCCGCTATGTCGACTAAATGTAAGGACAACTTGATTTCCAAATTCAATCGCCTCTCAAACAAGAAACCGGACCCACACATTGAAAAGCTAGATATTAACAAAGTCGTAATTAATCGCAGTAACAGTCCTATTTCTGAAGGTTTGAAATCCGTTTTAGCTAAAGGACTAAACTTTGCAGTCACACCTAGACACATACCAGTTAATGATATAATTGCTCGAGTAGATGTAGCTCTCAAGGGCTTGAGTCACATCGCTGCAGACGTAGCAAGATCCGAAATCTCTGTAACCCTCAAAAACGCTAAGATGCCAGCTAGCAACATCAGCAAAGAGGAGCGTTTTGAATTAGCTCAATTAAAAAAGAGGGATGACATTGTCATCCTCTCAGCCGACAAAGGCAATGCCACTGTCATCATGGACAAAATAGAATACAACAACAAAATTCAAGAACTACTAAACGATGGCAGCTATACAAAAATAAAAAGAGACCCCACCAACAGCCTCGTCTCCAAAACCAACAACATCATTTCTGCTTCAACCGCATTAATTGATCAGACCAAACAGTTCTCGTTGAAACCTTCTGCAGCCAGACCACCAAGATTGTACGGCTTGCCAAAGATACATAAAGAAGATACACCTCTTCGTCCCATTGTCTCTACTATCAACTCCCCCACTTACAAACTGGCTCGTTTTTTGTCCGAAATCCTACGGCCTTTCACTGGAAAAACCACCTCTGCAGTACTTAACTCTACTGACCTGGTATCGACAATCAAGGGGATTGCCCTGTCCCCAGACGACCTGCTTGTCAGTTTTGATGTGGTTTCCTTGTTCACCAAGGTACCTGTGCCTGACACCATCGCAATCATTGAAGACTTGGTTCATCAAGGACTGAATGCTGGGGTACCCCCCCTGGTGAGACACTGCTTAACCAATACATACTTCACCTGGAATGGAACCTTCTACAAGCAAATTGAGGGCACCCCAATGGGCTCCCCCCTATCTCCGGTTGTAGCCAACATCTTCATGGAGAAATTTGAGACGGACGCCATCCAGACTGCCACTCTACGCCCGACCTTATGGAAGAGGTACGTAGACGACACTTTTGTCATCTGGCCACATGGCCGGCCTGCTCTAGACCAATTTCTCGACCACATCAATTCCATACACCCAGCCATCAGATTCACCATGGAAGTCGAAAATGATGGCAAGCTACCCTTTTTGGATGTCCTAATCAAAAGGAGACCTGATGGTTCAATGAGCCACTCTGTCTACAGGAAAGCCACCCACACGGATGCTTATCTAAAACCGGATTCCCACCACCATCCATCTCAGAAGAATTCCCTCATCAAGACTCTATATCATAGAGCCCAATGCATCTCCGACCATGAACACATTTCCAGTGAACTCAAACACGTACGCCAAGCTCTTAAGGCAAATGGTTACTCCGACTATACAATCCGCAAAGCCATCACTCCAACCATCAAGAAGGATCCTGTTGAGGAGCCTTTCAAGACCATCACCTTACCCTACATTGCTGGGGTCACAAAAAAGATCTCCAAAATCCTGATTAAACACAAGATCCAGGTCCGATTCAACACAGTACATAAAATCCGTGATCTGGTACCGTCTGTAAAAGATGTGGTTCCAGACATACAGTACCCTGGCGTCTACAAACTAAGTTGCCTCTGTGGTAGCAGTTACATTGGGGAAACCAAACGACATGTCTCGGACCGCATCCGTGAACATAAAGCTGACCTGAAACACGGTAGGACTAACACCTCAGCCGTGGCAGATCACTGTTACAACTCAGTGGGCTCACATGATATTGACTTCTCCAAGACAGAGGTTCTCTGCAAGCCATCTGGCTATCATGAGAGATTCGTTCATGAGGCGATCCACATATACAAACACAGAGACAACTTTAACCGAGAAGATGGATTCTGGCTCAGCAATCATTGGAAGGACGTAATAAACCATTTCGATACACATTAGGGTGTGTAGAATAATACATAGTGTGATATTAAATGTATAAGATATAGGTTGGTTTACAGCAATACAGTATATAATTTAATGTTGGGTTTATCTATGGCAGTATATAGTACGGTATATGCTCGTGTGATGTAAGAGAATAAGGTTTAGATGGAAGCATATTATAGAATTTTTACGAGGTAAAATTGTAATGTATTACTTGCTGTTAGTAACTCAGCTTATTATAGAGTATAGTAAGTATACTGATGGTGCGATGCAGTTTATACTTTAGTTTTTTATGTAGTTTATACTTTAGTTTTCTACGTGGTTGTTGAGTAACTGCAGCTACATATCATTAACATTCCTTTCCTTTGTTACTGCTAATCCCTGCACCCCCCTTGGTTGCTGCTGATCCTGCATAATGCATGGGCATAATATGACTTTGACACCCCCCCGCCCAACGCCTACGCATTTTCCATGAATATGCTAAATCCCTCTTCACATGCACATTCTTTTTGTTAAGGCGCTCTTCAACCCCCAATGCAGCTTATATATAAGCTCCTAGTTTGGTAGTGTCTCATTCTTCACCTGAAGACGGCTGCTTGCGTTGTAGCCGAAACGTCGTGAGAATTGTTTTATTATGTTTTATTTTTATTATTTTATTACTTCCCTTCTACGTGACTTTACCGAAAGAAACAAGAAGAAGAATACAGGTAACCCATATGGGTTTACAGGTATGCCATACTGGCCCTTCAACACGTTTCCTATTTCTATTCTGCGATGCTTTCCTAGAGGGAAGATGTAAATGAACATGGGTTGGTGCAGGAATAATATGTCTCATGCTGGGACTTTAGAAACATGCGTTTAGAGTATTTGGCTGCTATACATTTACACATGATAAGCCACTTCGTTGAACTATTATTTGTGGCCAGGTCAATTCTGAAAAATAGCTATATAGCTCAGTGGGCGTTACCTGGTAAAATAAAAATATATAGTTTAGTATATAGTTTTAGCACATTCACACTTGGACCGCTGATTATCCTGAAGTCGTGCAAGAACAGAAATGACGGTTTGCATTTACCTTGCTTGAGCATCGAGACCCATGTATGTTGGCTGACTTCGTTTGGGGCAAACACGTAGAGGCACCCATTCTGGTCATATATCACCTGAGGGGCAACAATGGAATTAACGTTTGAAAAATTAAAATAGGTTTTATCCTTCCTGGCAATAAAACAAGAGGCGTTAAGATGTTCGAACACCAAATAGAAACATTTTGCAAGGTATCAAGTCTGCATTCACCACACGTACGTGTGGTGAACATACAAACAAACATGCTCTGATTGTAAGCCAATCAGTTTCAAAGGGAATGCATATATTATCAGAGCATGTTAGTGTGTAAAAAATGAAATTAAAATTAAGAAAAATAAAACAATAAAAAATTAAAAATCACGACGTTTCAGAGGCAACACAAGTCTCCGTCATCAAGTGGGACCGTCACAGCCAGATTTTCTGCATCAAGTGAGGCAAGGATTCAAGATGTAAGCCCTTAAATGCAAGTTGAGGGGGAAAGAGAGGGGGGGGGGGAGCTTATCAGAATGTGGTAGCCAATGAATGGAACGTATCGGGAGGGAGGGGGGCGGAGCTGAAAGAAGGCACGAAGTGCTACGTAGAACGTATCGGGAGGGGGCGGGGCCAAAAGAATGCACGAAGTGGTACGCAAGAGCCGGCGACGTGGACGTGGTTGTGTGCAAGTAACTATTGTTGCACATGCTAATGTATTGGACGGGGAGGGGGAGGGGGGGCTAAAAGAGAGTATGGGGTGCAAGTGTACGTGGACATGTATATGTACAAGCACCTGTTGATACACATGATAGAAAAGAACGAAAATGCCCATGTTTATACCAGTGTTGGCTGACAATAAAGAGACGAGAGTACTGTTAAACACTGGGGATGTTAACACTCGGTAAAGTAAAGTAAAATAGTGTCTGTCAGATAATATGGTCCAAAAATGTGTAATTAAGTCTTGTTTGCATGGTTGATAACATCTTTCCAATGATTGGTGTTTGAACATCTTTACACCTGTTTTATTTCCAGAAAGGGTAATAGCTTTTCTTATTTTTCCCATGGAATGAAAGATGTCAGTTGAAAAGCACTCGACCTCGGCCACGTGGCTCAGTGGTCGAGCGAGTTGCTCGCAATCGTCAGGTTGAGAGTTCAAATCCTGATAGGGTTGACTCAACCCATCATTCTACCAGGGTCGCTACACCAGGTACTACTTTGTTAATTTCCACACGTAAAAAAAACATTTTCTCCAATGCACAAAATAACGTTGTTAAAACTATGAGCAGGGTAATGAAAACCATGAGATAGACGATGGGAGAAAGTTGCAAAGTCGAGCAGTGCGAGGGACGACACAGAGAGAGAAGTGTCGTGAAATGCAGTGTGGTGGTTGACAGGATGGATGAGACGGAACAGTCCGTGTCTGGTAGACTGAGTCCTGGACAAATGGTGGGTGGATGAATCAATGACTGAAGTTGACTTGAACAGTAGTAGCGGTAGAAGAATGATAAAGAGGTGACTGATCGCTGGCGAGTGAGTGGCTGGAGTAAATCAGAATTATTTTGACTGGAGGAGGAAACTGATGAGCTATGAAGCTCTTTTTCAGTCGGGGCGGGTGAGCAAGTTACAAAAACAAACAATACAAAAACGATAGAGTGCAAAATAAACACAAGGTAAACCAGTCACAATAAAAAAAGTAAATATAAATGAATGAATGAAGGAAAGAAATACAAATGACATAAGTACCTAAATTCCTGCCCATTTTCAACTCTGGACACAAGGCAGCAAACGACAGTCCCAGACCACACCAAGACAAAAAACAACAATCCCTCAATAACTTTGCAAATTATAATTGATATATCGATAGGGGTCAAAGGTACAAATTACATTTGAAAATCTGGTTGTATCCAGTGCAAACATTCTGTGTCAGGATATTTTTAAAAGAAGTTTTTCGATCATGGGACCTCCTTTGCCAGTACCAAAATATTAGAATAGGGTTTTCCGCTTTTTTTATGGCAACAAAACAGGTGTTAAGATGTTAAAACACAAAACTGAAAAAGTGAAAAACTTATTATCATATTTTGGTACTGGCAAAGGAGGTCCCATGATGTAGATGCTCAACCCGAGTTCTCATTACTCTGATCGTACATTGTCTTTGTGCTCTGTACGCCTTTTGGTGTCCTCTGGTCTAACACCGTTTGAGACGAGGCTCAAAAGAAAGCTGTCTCTGGTGTGGACCAATCAGTTTCAAGGACAATGCATATAATATCAGAGTATGTTTTTGTTTGCATTTTGACCAAAAGCATTGTGGTTAATGCAGACATGATTCCTTGTAAAAGGTTTCAGTTTGGTGTTTTAACATCTTAACACCTGTTTTGTTGCCAGAAAAATGAAAAAACCTATTATCAAATTTTTCGCTGTTAAGGGAGGAAACGAGGTTGTTCCAAAACGTTGGTGCTGCAACGGCAAAAACTGTATAAGGGCACGCTCATTACACACAAAGTTCTTGCCACAAAGGAACCAAAATACCTTGCTGATCTCTTCAAGGAGCATACACCATCGAGTGAACTCCGATCATCCTCTCAGCGGCTTTTGGCTAGCCACCAAACAAAGACGGTCACTGCATCGTGCAGCGCTTTCAGATCCAATTCCTTGCGATATTAGGAAGCCACTGAAGCTTTTCACTTTTAAATTATCTAGATTGAAAACTCATTTCTTAAGAACTGCTTTTTTGTGCTTAGTTTGTTGTCCTTCCCCCGCACCTCCGATTATATAATTATCACGGTTGGCTACGTACGGTGCACAAGAAGTTCAACAAACATACAGTACATACACATACCACCCATCGTTTTTCTTGTCACCTATTCCAATTCTTGAACCAGTGAGTACTGGATCATCAGTCACCCCCACTGCTTCAAAGTTGAGTTTGATCCAGAGCAGTGAGGTAGGAACTGGGTGTTCGGCCTCAAGTATTGCAGCAGGATTCCAACTTTGGCCGAATTTCTACAGATGTTTTGCAGCAGTATAGAAAACCAAGCTTCTTCAATGCCTCCTTAGCTAGATGAGTAACACAGCCAGATGAGTTATGCTGCCAATCATCTGACAGCTCAATTCCATCTTACAAACTTGGTTTCCACATTTATCCCAGTAGCTAATAGAGGCTAATGTTTTATTCGTGGTAAATAAACGTTTTAAGATAGCAGCTTTAGTTAAGTGGCGTTCGATGGAGGCACACTGTCAATGTGCTATGATTCTCGACCCTCTCTATAGGGTTTCTTTACAGATCTCCCCTTTGCACCACATCTCTCCACTTGACCCAGTGGTAGAGTGTTTCACCCTGTGGTAGAGTGTTTCCACTGTGGTAGAGTGTTTCACCCTGTGGTAGAGTGTTTCACCTTGTGGTAGAGTGTTTCACCCTGTGGTAGAGTGTTTCACCCAATGGTAGAGTGTTTCCACTGTGGTAGAGTGTTTCACCCTGTGGTAGAGTGTTTCACCTTGTGGTAGAGTGTTTCACCCTGTGGTAGAGTGTTTCACTCTGTGGTAGAGTGTTTCACCCTGTGGTAGAGTGTTTCACCCAGTGGTAGAGTGTTTCACCCTGTGGTAGAGTGTTTCACCCAGTGGTAGAGTGTTTCACTCTGTGGTAGAGTGTTTCACCCTGTGGTAGAGTGCTTCACCCTGTGGTAGAGTGTTTCACCCTGTGGTAGAGTGTTTCACCCTGTGGTAGGGTGTTTCACCCTGTGGTAGAGTGTTTCACCCTGTGGTAGAGTGTTTCACCCTGTGGTAGTGTGTTTCACCCTGTGGTAGAGTGCTTTGCTTCCCAATCAGAAGGCTCCGAGTTGAAATCCTGGTGTAACGTCAGGTCACTCCAACCTTATGCCAGTCAACACAATCAGTAACGCTTGGTGGGAAGTTAATAGAGAGGAGAACCCCTTCCAAAAGCGCGTCTGATGTCCACTGCTGGCGTAGAACATGCAACGCACATTAGTGCTGCCACAACGCCTGTTTAAGCGGGGACACACAGCTTGCACAATCAAAACGAGCACGTATTGATCCACTTTTGCAAATGGTGTAAACGGGCCTCGAACATAAAAATTGTATCAAATACAGTCGCGCAATTTGTAAATTCACTTCCAACATCATTTTTTGTGGCAGCAGAAACCAAACCAATGGTCCAATGTAAATTGAACACAAAATTGGAATGATGGCACACTGGTGGAGTTGTGAGTGTGATTACCAACTAGGCCAAGGATCGGCAACCTAATACCTGTCAACCCCTTATCAGTGCCCTACAATAATTACAGACCAACTCAGACCTTAGTGGTCACCCTGTGCCCTTTATAAATCTCAACGTTCATCCTACAAAGTCCCGTCACGAGGGGAGAACAAAATCAACCTACAGCACTGGAGTCGCATGTGGCTCTTTAAGGACTGCATCGTGACATTATTTATTGACGACCAACGACTCGTATTCACCACACAGTGCATTGCAGCTCTTGCAATATTGAGGGGTTTTTTTTACCTATTTTTTTTCTTGTTATTTTGGCTGTCGACCCCTGAACTAGGCCATCCAGACATCTGCTCTCCCCAGGATTTCACCTGGCGATCAGCTCATGGTAGAACTCTCTGCAGTGCGACTCACAACCTGTTCTTAAAGCCGAGAGCCACGAGTTGGCAGCGAGATTTATAAATACCAGTCTTGATCACACGTCATCACTTGTTTCCAGGAAAGCACATTTCATTCTTTGATATTGGTTACAACCGTTGTACACAAATTCAGTAGCCTATCGCATGGAGAAATCTACAGAAGCCTAGAGATTTCTCAAACAGTGCTTAATCACTCCTCACACCTGACCATGCCTCTGTGGTGGAGATTATTAAAATGAAAACCATGAAATGTACTGCCATATGTGTGGGTGAACTCAATGACCGGTCCCTCTCACGAGATTGCTGCGCTGATTAAAACAATGGTTTGAATGTGTATACAGTACTGTGAACTTGGGTTTGATTTACTGGCGTGTAAATGTGTTCCACAGACTTCTGAGTTCAGATTCCACTACAGCACTCACCTCGATTTGCGAATATTCGATATACGAAGTTTCAATAAAAC